GTGTGCATGGCTTTTCAGTATTTCGGGCAAATAAATTTTAATACTTATTTAGAAAAGTAGCTTGTTACCTAGTCTCAAACTTGTAGTTATAGTATTCTCCCTGTACTAGGTTTTAATGGATAGTTCAGCATCCCAGGAGAGTAACCCGATCGATAGTTTTTCAAAACTGGTAGGGCCAACTTAACTGTAATTGAAATTTATATGCCAAGCATGTCTTGGTTTTGATACTAAACTTTGGCACAGCAGAGCAATAAGATTGGTATCTCTTAAACTTGGCTGACTTTAAGCTCACAGGATTTGCAATATTTTGGAGCCCGAGTGTTCAAGAACTGTGGCCAAGACAGCCTCTTCTTGTGCATTAAATTATCTTGATGATTCTTATATTTTGCAAAGCATGGAGGGCAGAGCAGCACCATTTCTTGTAATTAAATGTTGTGTGGGGACTGCAAAATAACACTTGGAATAGCTGGCCTGCTGCTGTATTACAGTGGCAGATTTGAGGAAGTGTCTGTACTGTGGTCTATTGGGTAACCTGTCAAATAGCATGATTTGATGGGTACATACTTGTCATTAACTATAGAATGCGATAGATGCCCTTTTTACTTTGAAACTGAAATGATGTAAGTTGTTTAGGGTACTATACATCTGTTCCTTTAATTTTTTCTCTCTTTTGGTGCACCAATTGCATCTTTAAAATGGCAGGAAAACAGATCTGAACCTGAACAAGCTGTGTAAATGCAAGCATCTTGATTACTGTAACTTAAAGTTAATGATCAAGTGCATAGTCTCTCTTCCTATTGATAAACAAAACTGAAGTATTTGAGCACATGGAACAAAAGACAGAACTGATGAGCTGAATAAGTGAAGAAAATGCAAACTCTCTACCTTCAACTATGGAAATCCCTCTTCAAAAGGGATGCTAACATTTTGATGGGGATTATACTAGAGTTGTAGGTGGTGCCTTTTTAAAAAGCTGCTGCTGATTGCTAACTTCAGTGTAAAAGCTGCTAATAAGTCCTAGTTGAGCAAGTGAATCTGAGTCAAAATGTGAATCACCCCCTTTTTAATATTAAGGTCTTTTGTTTCTTCTAGATCTTTCACCTAATCCCTATGGCTTAAGCCTGAGCTAAGCAAAAGGCAGTCCCAGAAAACTGAGTGACCTATCAGTGTGGTGCTTCAAACAGCTACAAGTCTTTTGTGGCTAAATATTAAGATTGTACTAGTTATACCAACATGCCACTGCTACTTGCATCCTTTTTATGGCAGTGTGAAGAAAAGGCTTGTGCAAGCAGCGTGTTACTCAAAGGCAAGCAATAGATCCATTTCTAAAGGGGAGGTGGCATCCAGCTTGCGCTGTCTTGCAGTATTGACTGGCCTTTTTGCATTTTCAGCACAGTTTGTTAACCTAGTTTCTTCCAACGTGTTGCCCCTTCATGGGTGTCTGCCTGAAATGGATACTAGTGCTCACCTAGTTAAAAAAAAAAAAAAAAAAAAAAAAAAAAAAAAAAAAAAAAAAAAAAAAAAAAAAAAGACTAATAATAGACTGTTCAAAAAGCTGACCAGTTAGAGCACTTGGAAAGTGATTAAATAATCATGAGGGAGGAGTCTGTTTCAGTGACTAGGAATGTGAATATCCCTACTCAAATGCATGTTGCCAGGAGAGGATTACCCAAGCAGCTTGCTAATATATTAATATTCCAAACAAAGAGCTGAGCTGCCCTGTTACAGCATAAGCACCATCCAAAGCTACCCCAGTGAAAAAATGCACCATGTGCAAAGGGTATCTAAACTGTTACTGTAGGACTAACTTAATTGCCCAGATACTAGTATTCCTAGCAGGCCAAATAATTTCTAGACTCAGCAGTAGGACAGATGACTTATGCCTTCACTGTCTGTGGCTCCCTAGATAAGACTACTGCTCTTCTCCCTAGAAAAATCTGCTCATAATGCTGAACTTGGAAAGAGTTTACTTGTACCTACAAAGTGCCCTTCTAGTTCAAAGCATATTTTAGCACAAAGGACTTGGGGGAGGGGTTCTGCAACCAGGAAGACAGACAAGCATAGCAAAGGAAGAATAGGTAAGTCCTGTGAGTACTAACTAGATGCCAGGGACCTTTTTGGCTCACCTGTTTCATTATCGCAAAATAGCTTGAACCTGGAAATGTGGGTTCACCACAGCTAGAATACAGCTAATCTGTTCATAAATCATGTCTCCAACATTTCAGGAAAAGCTCCTTTCTAAAGCTGGCTGTCCACTGGAAGTGGAACCCACAAATCCTGCTGAGGAGCACAGATCCTGTGTCCATTTACTTTTAGCTAATGCTTCACAGTGCTGGTAAGAAGCTAGAGCTAAAAACTGCAGATACAAAGACAAATGTCTTCTGGCAATACTGGGTTCTTGAGGATTTAAACTGCATCAGTTAAGGTAGAATAATGAACTTTTGCAGTGGATTTTGTGAATATTGGTTGGAGTTTGTGGAAAGAAAGTATGAAGTTACACATGACACCACCATTTTTCCATGAGAAAAATCAAGTAATTAGTGCCTCTAGTTTTGGCTTGTATGTAAGGCAGTCAGTTAATACTATTACCTTCTAGAAGGTACTGCTTGTATTTTTGTAATGAGGTAGTTTTTATTCCTGACTTATTCAGAACTGGGGAAAATCCAACTTAATGCAGGTACTTTAAACATGTATGTATAGTCTCCTGCATTAAGTCAGTCACTTGTAATGACAGCTAAATCAAGCTGGAGGTAACTAGAGTTTCTCTGTCCTCTGAAAACTGAATCGTATAAGTAGGCAAAGTTTTAGTAATAACCCCAAAATGGAAAAACCTGCTTCAGTTTTTCTTTTTAAGTAACTATTAGTGCCTTCAGAAATGTATGCTACAGTGTAGAGGTGTTTTCTGGTTTTCTTCCCACCCTTTTCCCCTGCCCAAATGTGGGGCTGTTCTTGGTGTCACTTGGATTAATTTGTTTCAGTTGGAACCCCCCCTCCCCCAAAGCCCAAACAAAAACAACCCAAACAAACAACAAAAACCAAAACACAAAATGAAAAACTCTAGTTTCAGGCCCTGTACTGTACATTGCCAAACCATTCTGGTGACAGACTTTCTGACCACTCTTTAAGCAAAGCATGCAGTTTCTTGCAAGACAGGCCACACAACTCTAAAATGATGCACACTGAAACCCTAGATTACTCCAGCTCTACTGTTACGCTGTCATTACTACAAGCAGTAGTTTCCCCTCAGTAAGAGCAACTTGGCTGTAAAGGAGGTAGTTGGCTCCTAGGGTAGTAAATTGAGGAAATACATAAGCTTTAAAAACTTATGGTGTAATAATAAGTAGATTTTTTTTAATTGAAAGGTTTTAAGTGGCACTGTAGTTTTAATGATGCATTAAAAGTTAGCTAACTTGTACTATCCCCTTCAACAAATGTGCACGTGGCAGCCTTTTGGTGTTAGATACCCTTCTACATGGCTCAGAAGTTAAGCAAAATATTGAACACAATGAACATGTTGCTCGTTTCTTCACTGTAAGTACACTGTATCATAAGTGATCTTGACAATTTAGTCAAGTAGTGGAAAATTATAAAATGCTTACCTATTAAAATTGAAGTTTAAGATTGAAGGTCTCTCACTGGTTCACATGCCGCCTCTTTTTCCATATCTGAATATGCAATCAACAAATGTGTAAGTGTTGAAGCCCCTTATTACTCCACTGTACTTTTCCACCTGAATGCAACACAGTTGCAGACTGCAGACTTAAGTTTAAGTGTAACACTTTGTTCCTCTGAATTAAATCAGTCCTCACCCACCTATGCCCAAGCAACTGAAAATGAATGGAAGCATGTGTGCAACAAATTATCGTTGACAGATTGAATATCTCAATACACATTTGAGAATCCAGATATTAAAAACTGGTCTGAAGTTTGTATCACTTAAGTTTAATTTGTAGAGACCATTTCTTTGGGGGGGAAGACACAGGTGTTGATCATAATGAGCCCCTGTCAAAATGTTGAGCCTCACTGCAAGCAGCATGGTGGAACAGCCAAGATTAGAGCTTGCACTCAGTCCAACAGACCACTCTGTAAACTTAGTTAGTTACCTGTTAATATTTTATCCATTGCATCCACAACTAATTTGGCATCCTGTACACTAAAGCACATTGGAGGCTTGAACTTAAGTACGTTTCTTCCTGGACCATCAGTACTCAGCAGAATGTATTCTTTCTTCAGTCTAGAAAATAAAAGGCCCTTTTAATCATTTGAAATTTAAAAACTGGAGGAGGGGGGGAAGAAGCTTACCACGTAGGTATGACATTGAGATCTTTGCATAAAATTCCAATGATATTAAATGAGCTATATGCCTGATAAAACAGTATTTTTTTCAGTATGTATTTAAAGCATCACAGTTTAGAATCTGCTTGGCTACCTGTACATAACAGGCACATCTATGTCTTGCCTCAACCCAAGCCCAATAATAATCTGAAATGATACAGACTGACATGTAGCATCTCTTATTGGGGGTGGAATCCAACCTTGTTATCAAGTACTCTGCTTCTTCAGTAGCTGGGGTCCTTTTCTCTTGGTCTTTTATTAAGTCCACTCCAATAAATAATCCAGCACCCCTTGTAAGAAGATGGAAGCAGAAATAATCAAAGATAAAGAGCAGATACTGTTCACTGTTAGTGATGCATCTTTTTCATTTCACAAATTGCATTAGTGAAGGGGACAGAAAGGTACTACAGCCTTGTACAGATATGCTGGTTAATGCAGACTTAGCAGAATGTCATTAGTAAAGTATGACAGGACTTTTAACTGGCAAACTAATTTATTCACTGAGCTTTTTTTTAATGCACATAAATAGAAATGGTAGTTGCATGCAATCTAGCAGCTTGCAGGAGAAGTAACTGGGACAGGTGCATTAATTTCTAGGTCAACTAAGTCACACCATTTTAATGAAGCGAAAGTTTTTCTAACTTCTTGGTACCTCGCTTGTCCAAAAAAGCACCTGGTGGCATAAGATTTGAGGACTTATTTCTGATCTATGTTTGAACAGCTTCTGAAAATCTGAATTGGTGGCTGATACCTGACATCGCCAATGATAGGATGTTTAACTTTCTGTTGATTCAGTAATTCCATCAGTAAGTTGCCCACTTGCATGGCATGGGCTTGAAGATGCTCCTTCTCAATCACATCCAAAACTGCTAAGCCTATGGCACATGAAACGGGATTTCCTCCAAACTGCTCAAGGAAAGAAGAGAGACCATTATGTAGATAAGGGACTCAAATCTGTTTCTTTAGATAGTAAATATTTTCATGTTATAGGTGAAACCATGGCCCTCCTACAACAATAGGTGTTGTGCCTCTGACTCTTAGCATCAGGATTTGATGCCTACTGCACTTATTACACAGCTTTTCTGCCATTCGGAATAACAGCACAAAGTAGATGTGAACTCCTTAGTAGTATACTGTGTTACATAATGGGGAGTAATTGCTTAGTGTTGCTTTGAATTAACAATAACTTGTATCCTCTGAGAGTGACACTTGTTTAAAAGCAAGGGTCTTCTAGTTTATTATGACAAAGATTGGGTTAACTCTGTACTTACTGTATTAAAGTATTCCACTCCAGTAGCTGCAAATGATTCTGCAATTTCTTTTGTTGTTGCTACACAGGCGACAGGGTGCCCATTTCCTATTGGTTTGCCCATAGTGACAATATCTGGTACCAAATCCTCTCCCTGAAGCTGGAATGCCCAAAAGTGTTTGCCAACTCTGCCAAAACCTACTTGAATTTCATCGGCAACAAATACACCTCCTGCTTTGTGCACGTGTCTGTAATGTAATATTGATTTCAGTTTTGCATTTACTGGTCATCTCCAATATAATCACTTGACAACTGAAATTTCATAAGAAACTTGTACTTAAATAGGAATGACCTAAAATGTTACAAAACAAGCCCCATGGTGCTAACAGCATGCTTGATATTCTATAATACATATACTAAGAAGTCTCTCCTGAAGAAGTTATTCTGACAGAACAAGCACAATAAACTTAAATTGTAGGTCATGTTTAAGATAAAGGGAATCTGTCTAAAAACTTCAGTTTTTAGAAAACAAATAAGAGGTACTACTAAGCTTACTTACTCTGCTACCTTTTGGAAATAGCCTGCTGGTGGAATGATCTGACCGGCAACACTTGGTAAAGATTCGGCAAAAAATGCTGCAATCTGAAAGTGTAACAAGCAACATCTTAAGTAATATGCAACTGCAGTACAACCTTGCATAATTTACAGGTGCTGAGCCAGATTAGTCTTGCTCTTTAAATTATTATTTAATCATTTAAAAATACTCTGCTATTGTGCCTCATATCAATCTCAAAACACAGATAGCTTGTAGTACCTAGTTATTTTATATGGATGGTTGCTAATAAACTGCACCATAGTATTATAAAGGGTTTACTGAAGGGGGTAGGGAGGATTTTTTGTTTGTTTTTGTTTTGTTGGAGTTTTTTGGGGGGGGGGTTGGGTTTTTTTTTTTTTTTTTACCTTTCTACCCTTTTTGTGTGCTTGCTCAATGATTTCTTTCACTTCATTGGCATAAGCTGTAACTAAATCTTTATGATCTTCTCTGTATATTCCACGGTATGTGTCCGGGATAGGAGCCTATAAATAGAAAAGTGGCCTGGATTTAGTATGCATTATGTTAGGTGGATAACAAATTAATAGTCAATGTTTGTAATCTGTAGTACATACCACATGGACCCAATCCTTCTGTCCTTCTAGGTTTCTGAATTTATATGGACTTATGTCAATCAGGGATGTCAGATGTCCATGGTAAGCACTTAAAAACAATCAGCAGAACTAAACAGTAACTTCTTCCTCATCACAATCTTGTAGAATTAGTGCAGATTTTTCACCCTGTATAGTTTCATAGTTTCTAGGGTCGGAAGGGACCTGAGCAGATCATTTAGTCCGACCCCCTGCCATGGCAGGAAGAGCACTGGGGTCAAGTGACCCCAATAAGGTGGTCATCTAACCTCCTCTTAAAAACCCCCAGGGTGGGAGCCTGCACCACCTCACTTGGAAGCTGGTTCCAGACTCCAGCTGCCCTGACTGTGAAGTAGTAGCGCCTCCTGATGTCCAACTTAACCCCTTTAGACAGGGTTACCTGGCCTAAGAGCGGTGTACAGAACTTGGTGAACCAGCTGAATTGTTTTTGGGCTTTATGCATGTGTGCTGGGTTTTTAAGCTATGGGCCCTTGAAAAATCTCATCAAAATCAGGTTCAGCATTTAGCTGAAAGTAGTAGAGGTATTGCATTATCGATCAGAATTGAACCCTAGAACTCCAGCTATAGAAGCTCAGAGGGGCTGTATGCCTATAGTCACTAGTTTAAGTTAATGCCTCTACTAGACAAAACTACTTGAAAGAAATCTAGAATCAGATGGGGCAACTGAGTGGCAATTAGAACCAGAATCAGAAATGGCAGTTGAAGTTACTGAAGGATAATAAAATATTATAAATGTACTTACTGATCTAACACAATAACATCTGTGTGTTTTGTATGTTGTCGTGCCAGTCTCAGGGCAAGGTCATTGGCTTCTGATCTACAAATGAAAATTCAATAGCTGTTCCATCACATAAGTGGCCAAGCTTTAAAGTTCTGGCTACAGAAGACAGGGTAGACATGTGCTTTTACAGACTAACAAGCAGATGGATATAGCACAAACTTTTGTAAAACAGCATTTACTTAATCATACTGCTGTGACTTGCTCCTGTGGTATCTGGTGAACATCAACAAATAACACAATGTGCAAAACAGGAGGCACAAAAATGCTCACTAGGATGGCAGCTGTACTTAGCCTGCAGCAGAAGACCCAAAGCCATTTTTTACAATTTCAGTAAGTAAAAACAACTACAAAAGCAGGGCAAAAAAAATATAGCTGTAATTATTTTGAGATACTAACATTCCTATAATCCTCCATGTTAGAAGATTGTATAAAAATGACTACCTAAAGGGGCTCTCAAAAGCCACCAGGCTTCTGAGAAAAAGAATTAACCGTTGAATTGTTTTTGTACTTTATCAGACAATTAATCTGTGCATTGAAACAACTAATCTAAAGATTAAATTTACTCTGCTTTTAAGTGTTTTCTGAAACAACATTGCCTGATAGTCTGAAGCTTTTGGAAACAATAAAATACTCTCTCTTAAGAGTGTGTTCATTTATAGAAAGTCTCTCTTTCACAGCTACTTCAGAGTCGACCTTTGGGAAAAGCATATTAATTGGAAAAACAAATCCAGATAATGCATGCATTATGGAATTTACTTCTTGGCATGTAGAGATGATACTGTATTTACAACCCTCCCATATGCAAAGGGCTCCTCCATACCACAAAATTATTTTGAAATGTGACAGCAAAGTTCCAAATAACCCAGAGCAATGCAGTCAAAGACAAAACAAGGAACCAAACCACTAAATATGACCATCTACTTTCCTAATAGGCTAGCCTGCCTGTTTGAATATTAAAGTGGCAGAGCTGCAAGAAAGAATCAAGTCCAGCAGCCTTCACAGAAAAGCACTTTTAACTGGTCAGCAACATCAGAATCCATCTAATCACCCACAGCAGTGGTTTTTAATTTCTTTTTTTTTTATTTGCAAACCCCTAAAAAAAAAACCTGAGTGGAGGTGCGGACACCTTTGAATGGTAAGTGTGGGTATTCACATATTTTTGATTGATCGTAGTGATCTTTTGGGGTTGATTGTAGATCACCTTAGACATGATCTGCAGACCCCCAGGGGGCCACAGACTACAGATTGAAAACCACTGATCTACTGACATGGAGATGTTTTGGCAGCTGTTTATAAGTTTGCTGCATTTCAGTCATGAAGATGTTCTCTTTACTTACCCTGAATTCAAAAAATAGAAGGTGCACAATTTCTCTGGCAGCGTTTTGGAAAGTCTTCTTGCATAATCCACTATATTGTCATGGAGATAACGAGAATTTGTATTTAGCAACTGATTCTGTTCATGGGCTGCATTTACTACATCAGAGTGGCAGTGTCCAACTGAAAGAAATGGGGGGAGAGATTAGTTTCAGAGTTCTTCCTGCATGCAACTTTTCTCTTCCATACTTGTTCACTAATAGACATACATTCTGCACCCATTTCTTATGGTAGAGGGCAAGGGTGTACCCATAGATTTTTGTGGCTGATACTGATTTTTAAGAAGGCATATTGGCTGATGCTGATCTAGTTTCCAATACCAGCCCAGCAGCTTGGACAGCTGCTGCCAGTGGGTAAGTCTGGGGAAGGGGGGCAGATCAAGGCACCACAGGGAGGGAGGAGTGGAACTGGGGCAGGGGCAAGTACTGCCCAGCCAGGGCAGGATGGGCACAGGACAGAACCACAGGTCATCTGGGTAGGAGGGGGAGGTTGATTCCCACTGCAATGCGCTGCTTAGCTTGGAGCTGCTGGTCGGGTGGCTTGTCTGGCACTCACTTGTCCTGCTGCTCAGCTGGAAGGGCACAGGGGGATGCCCCTGGATCTGGGCAGAGTAGGCTGGGGCCAGGGCTGAGCCAGGCTCTCCTAGTGGGGCAGGGGGAGGGTGCTGTAGCCACAAATTTGCTGTAGCCTCACTCCCAGTGCTGCAGCTGCCCTGCACAGCCCTGCCTTGCCAGAAAGAGCTTTGCATAGCCCTGGCCCCAGTCCACCCCATGCATATCTAGGGGCACACAGCCCTCCTGGACAAACAGCAGGAGCCATGGGATGAGCAGGTGAGTACTGGACAAGCCACCTAACCAGTGGCTCCTGGCTGAGAGCTGCATGATGGTGGGAGTCAACCCCACTTCCCTGCACCCCCAGATGAGCTGTGGCTGTCCCATGCGCAGTGTTTGTCCTTACCCCAGCTCCCCTTCCCCTCCCACCAACACCAGACTTACCAGCTGGAAGCAGCTCTCTATGCTGCTGGGCTGTGCTCCTGCCTGTGCTGTGCTGAGGCTGCATACGTGCACAGGCCATTTATCTGCCACATTATCAGCCTGATATGGCTGATTTCCAATATATCACATTTTCTGCATATCAGTTCCAAACCAATATGGGACTGATGTGTCAATGCACCTCTAGTAGAGAGCAGAAACCTTGGTGTCTACATTTGGATGGCAAGGCATTAACAGTCAGCAGGAAGATGAATCTCTGAGATGGTTTCAAAATCTGTGTTATGATGCAGTATCTAATTTGCAAGTGTTTTTCTGATTACCTTTAGATTCCTCATTTGTTTTAATGAATTAGTACTTAACCAGATCATCTAGATTGCATCTAACTGATGTAAATCATGGAATCATAGAAAATTAGGGTTGGAAGGGACCTCAGGTGGTCACATCTAGTCCAACCCCCTGCTTAAAAGCAGGGCCAGCCCTAACTGGATCATCCCAGCCAGGGCTTTGTCTAGCCAGGTCTTAAAAACCTCCAAGGATGGAGATTGCACCACCTGTCTGGCAATTTGCCCTGCACTAGAGCGTGCATACGAAGGCATGCCTGAGAGCACGTGTTCCTGCTCATGGGGACGTGCCCCATGTGTTTACAAGGTACAGTTCCATGTAGTAGTCATTTTAGTTGAGACTATTACAAAAAAAAAATCAAAATACCATCAGGATGAAGCACCTGCTTTTTCAAAGAGACAGTTAAGACATTGTCCTAAACAGTGATCTTCTGAAAGCTGTAGCACCCTAAAGTAACCCTTCAAGGGAAGACACAGACAAGTGCAGCAAGTTTGAGCCATTTGTTCCTTGGAGTTTAACACTGCTTTGAACAAGCAAGTTGAGCCTATTTCAGTTTACTGAAACGGTACAAAAGCAAGGGCAGGGGAAATGTGTAGGTACACAGAAATCTGCATGTGTCAATACCAGTTTCCCAAATAATAGGTTCACAAGATGTTTTCCATTTTTCCAGCCGCAAGAAATAAATTGTGTTGATTATATTACAACACACAGCTTCTCACCACCCTTTTTCCTGTCAGGTGCAGGTCTCCCAGAATATTATATTTATGTAGTGTAACATGGTACCCAGCAATATTTTAAACTCACCGTGAGCCACATTGTTAATACAGTCAAGGTACCATCTTCCATTTTCATCATACATATACTGGCCTTTTGCCCTGACAATCTTCACTGGATCTTCAGGAAAGAAGAGCTTGCAAGAAGACCTGGAGCAAACATCAAAAAGGCACAACTTAGCATGAACCTGATCGCAAGCATCAGTCCTTTTCACAACAAAAATGGAGATGCTGCACCCAAGTGAAGGCAGTGTGAACTACCCTCCTTCAGTCCCCTCCCTGGTGCTGCTCACCCCATGAGGTTCCCTGCGGTTTGGATCTGGCCTTGAGCCAAGGGAGTTTGACACCCTTGCCTTAAGAGAGATTTTACTTTGCGCTCTAACACTCAAGTGACATCCAGAACCAAGGGCCTTCTACGGAGATCGCCAAACTCAGTTGTAAACTTCAGTCAGATCTGAAGCTTTGTGGTCCTCTCCTTTTACAGCATCCCAAACCTTCACGTTGTCTCCTGCAGCCTCTCGTCTCAGCTTAATCATCTCCCTCACCTTCCCTGTAGCCTTTCAGGACCTGACACGGCCGAGCGAGGCATGAAAGTCATACGCCTCTGACCAGCACTGCTCTGTGTGCTTACAGCCGTCTGCCTGCGTGGTTGTGAGCGTTAGCTGGGTCTGATCGGCCTTCACGCGTAAGCCCAGAACAGTCCCAAAACCTGCCTGCTCAAAGGAGCACGAGGTGATGCGGTTCCTACGCCATGACTTGGGGGACAAGGTCCCTTCCAGCCCCTATGAATAGATTTAACTCCAAGTAGTTAACTAATTTGGGGGCCGCCCATTAAATAAGTTCAACATAACTTAAAAGAGGAACTTGACTATCCGCCCCTCATGGTTTTAAAAAAATATTTTCCAGTCCAAGGGATTGGGTTTTTTTTTTTTTTTTTGTGTGTCTGCCCAGTCAAAACCCAGGGGCCATAGCTCACGCCTATGCTGCCATGAGAGCATATCATGCTCACGCAATGCTGCCACCAAAAAAACAACCCCCAAAGCCATCAATGATGAAAAATACAGGAAAAAACAGGCTTTCCTGCTCTCCGCTACGGGACTCAGGATGCGTTTCCCAACAAGAAAACACACCTGCTTTTTAAATGGACCAGGGGCGCATCTCGGGTGAGACGAGGGCGCTTTTGGCTTTTGCACAGAAATACAAGACGGAGATGAAAGAGGAAAGAGTGAGGGTTGCTCCTCTGAACTTCGGCACCGAGTTCACTGTCAGCCCATAAAACCTTTACAGCCTGTGGGAAATAACTGTGTGCGTGTGGGGGGGAAGGGGGGTTGCCTCCCGTCTCGGCCCAGCACGGGTCCCGCGCCCGGGCGGGTTTGGTGAGCGCAGCCCGCGGGAGCGAGACCACTGCGCCGAGGACGGGCCTGGTTCCGGGGCACGTGGCAGGAGGCGGCCCGCGGGAGCTGGGCGGCGCTGCCGGCACCCCGGGGCGGCGCGCTCCC